AGCAGTAAAAAAAATGCTGGTGGTATAATAGCATACTTTCTTACCGACAGGGCAGGTGGTATGACAGCATACCTTCTTACCGACCGAGCCCTCGGCACTGGCTCATTTTTTTAATCAAGAGAGTGTCCGCCGGCCACCGCGGCAACGGTGGCTATGTTGCCCGCCAATAGCATTGAGTTGCATACACCTGCTTTGTGTTGTGACAGATTTTAATAAAGAACTTGTATATAATAACACAACAGGATGCACGAAATGAAAAATTAAAGTTTGTATCTGTCTCGTTATGACGTCAAGATTATAAACAAGTATAATCACATTTGACACTATCACTTAATTAATTCACCAATAAATAAATATTTTTTTACTGTCATGAAAATTGAATATGAGGTTAGTGATTTACCTGGAATACACAGAACAGCGAATTTTTTAGAATTATATTATATGCAAAACTTACTGCTGAGTCACCCGTCACAACTTTCTTTCACACTAATGCCAACATTGACGACTCACGTTTCTTCTATAATTGCTGTTAAGGGTTCGAATTTCTCACGTCAGAGGTGTTAATTCGTGTGACATCACACTTAATTGAACGTGGGTTGAACGTAAGATTAACGAAGCCGGTAGGAATAAAGTATTCATTATTAAATTTAATTATTAATAGGTCCGTGAAACGTTTTAAAAATTCGTTTGGAAATTAATGTCGCCATGTGCCTTCATTCGCGGTGATTCAGCCATCTTCCTTATGAGGGCGATGTTTATATGTTGTAAATATTCAAAATGTTTCACAGACTTATGAATAATCCTGTATTGAAATAATTCATAAATGTGACATTACATGTTGAAAAATCCAGAATAGTGGAAAGTGCTAGAATTATTACATGTTAGCGAAATAACAGGGACTTTTCGCTGGTCAGGCGTGAGTCATTGCTAAACAGAGTAATCGCCATGATGGCTTTGGCTAACGATGTGGGATAGGAAAGCAGAAAAAGATCATATTCCTCATTTAACAAATATTATTTATTTTTATATGCTTGATCTGGTCTTCAGTCTTACCTACTATTTTAATACCATAATTTCTTTCTTCAGTTGCATCTGCCTCGTCTGGAAAAGAAATGTTAATTATATTAAAATAGTTTGACTTGTGGAACAAATATGAAAACAGACTGAAGTTAAAATGAGAACTCAAGCCCATTTGTTTCAGTTAAGTTCAGACACTGGCCCACAACAGACTTACCTCTTCCACTTTTATGAGCAAAAACTTTTCTGCAAGAGTTGCCAGACCCACGTGAAGTTTATGAAACTGTAGGACAATGTAAACTGGGGAAGACTTTCAGCTTCCAATATCTACATTTGTGGGTGAGTAGCCTTTAAATTTAAGTAGCATTTTGGGAGTTCTGATTATTAAGTAAAGATAATCTCAATTTCATGCATCCTGCTGTGCTTTTCATGCAATACGGACAATTATTCTTAATGACGAGGCAGCATTACACAATTCATTAATTGCTACACCATGGGCCTCTCTTAAAATCTTCTATATAAAGTAATATCGAATTTCCCTATTGTCTATGGAAATGCACACAAAGTATATCCAACGACTGATTCAATGTTTTTGAAAACATCATTAATATTATATCTTGTTATAATACTTCCAATTTTTAATTTTTATATAATCTGAACTGCAGTTAAATGGTAGATTTTTGTTGATATGTATTTGCCTGATGATGGCCTATAGTGGGCGAAACATGTAGCAAAGCCACAGCTGAATGCTGACTTTGATGTTTTACTATTTGCTGTGTTGTAACAGTTCATTAAAAAGTAAAGATACTTCATTTCAGCCATGAATTGTAGTTCAACCCAACAAGCTGATCTGTCAGACTTTAGTAATTATCATACCAGCTGCAACAACAGCCCTTGTTGCAATGTACAGTGCTTAAAATGTTCTGAAGGATATGAGGCGATGTTTCAAATGCCCATGACTCTTCGTGTTATTCATAAAAATATAGTGTGGCTAGAGGGAAGAAGCCTCCTGTGCAAAACCTCTTAGTGTTGATTTTTGAAGTATGCTGTTGTGTAAAGTTTGTTATGCTAAAATTATAGGTGTACTTTCATATATATATATATACTTACGTAGATGTTTATATAGACAGCAACATGTACCTAGTTTTCTCTGTGCTTGCTTCTAGACGAACCTCTTTACTAGTGTCAATTAAAGTTTCTGTGTTTTTCTTTACGGTATCTATATTATCATCCAGTAGCAGCGCAAGTTAAACACCAAATCCAAGCAATTAACCAACAAACAAGTAAATCTAACGTCCAACAAGCTAAAGACATCATAGATAGACCAATACCAATATGTTTTTAATGAATACTATACAAACATTGCCCATCACATCCAGAGTAACAATCAGACAGCACAAAACAATGAAGACAGGATCAACACAATAAAATACAACAGCAATAGCATGTTCTTACCCCCAACCACTGAAAGGGAGGTGGTAGACATAATTAAAAGACTGGGTAACAAAAAATCAAAGGGCATTGACGATATTCCAGAGTTCATTATTAAAAAATGTCATCCTCAACTAGTAAATGCTCTAACATACATTATAAATCTGTCATTTTCATCTGGTTATTTCCACGACCAACTAAAAATAGCAAAAGTGAAACCCTTGTATAAGAATGGTTGTACTGCAGATGTTGGGAACTACAGGCCAGTGTCATTAATTTCGGTTTTTTCTAAAATAATCGAAACAATTATGCACAATAGACTTTTATCATTCATAAATAAGTACAGCATAATCAGCAATAGACAGCATGGATTCTGCAAAGGAAAATCAACACATACAGCAATCACAGAATTTACAAAAATGGTTTACAAAGCACTAGATGAAAAAGAAACACCTATAGGGATATTTTTGGATTTATCGAAAGCGTTTGACCTAGTAGATCATGATATATTGCTAAGTAAGATGGAAAGAATGGGAATACTAGGGGTTACACTAAGGTGGTTCCAAACATACTTAGAAAACAGAGAACAAGCGGTAGAAATTACATACAGATGCAAAAAAACTAATCGTAACATTAATTACCTTCCCGAAAGAGACCCATCAGCTATGGCATCCCACAAGGTTCCGTTCTGGGACCAGTGTTGTTTCTGTTATACATAAACAACCTGGAGGCCACCATTGAACATGGGAAACCTATGTTCTTTGCCGATGATCCTAGCATTTTTATAGCAGGAAATAGCGCTAACGAAATTCAAAGGAAAACAAATGAAACAATAAACAAGATCACAGAGTGGTTTGAGAGGAATCAACTAACTATTAATAACGAGAAAACAATAGCAATAGCCTTCCATCATCCTTAGAAACTACAACTTGAATGCCCTCCAATAAAGATTTATGACACTGTTATCAACTACACAGATCACTCAAAATTTCTGTGAGTTTGGCTAGATAAGCATCTAAGATGGACTATTCATAAGCAAAAGCAAGTATGTTTTGGCCTAAGGGTAGTTAGAAGAGTAACTGGACTAGAGACTGTCCGCACGTTATGTTATGCTCATTTCCAATCTTTGTTATCATAGAGACTGATATTTTGGGGCAACTCGGTAAATGCAAAATTGATCTTTAAATTACAAAAGAGAGCTATAAGAGCTATGACCCAGGTGCCAAAAACGACCAGTTGTAAACAGATTTTCAGATCATTACATATATTACCTCTACCATCTTTGTACATATACAAAATTCTAATATACATAAAATTCAATTCGAATGAATTCACAACCAGCTCAGTATTACACTCATACAACACAAGGAAAAAAGATGACTTGCACATCGTCCCGTGTAATACAAGTCTATGCAAGAACAACTTTAACAGTGTAGGACTTCGACTGCTAAATCATCTGCCACGATATATTAAAGAAATACCGGTACTATATAAGTTCAAAAGCGCTTTGAAAACTTACTTTCTTGATCAGTTTTTATAAAGTGGATGAGTTTCTCTTGTGTGAGACAAACACTAATCAATTATAACCACATAATTAATGAATAATCGGTTTTGGGAATCCCTACTGCGCAGTTTTCCTTTCTTTCTTCCAGCAACCAAGATAACACAGTCTGAGATATACCGGAATGGGCTGTTCTGGAGAGATTGCAGATGCCAAGAAGCTGCACCAAGAAGGGAGAACAGATGTAATGAGATGTTGCAGTGTAGAGTCTACAGTGAAACGTTATACCAGTGGTATCACCAAATTCACCAGTATTATCTCAAAGGCCACGCCATAGCTTAAGCGGTTAGTCACTGGCTTCCCACCACTGCAGTCTAGTCAAGTGAGAGTTGTGATGGACAAAATGGTGCTGGGGCAGGTTTTCCCTGAGTACTTCGGTTTCCCCTGCCAATCCTCATTCCATCAAATTCTCCTTAAACATTATCACCAGTACAGGCACAATAGGACATATGGAAGCCGATGTGCTGAGGGGACCTAATATGGATTCCACCTCACACTATGTGAAATCTTAACTATTGTAATCTATTGTAAACAATTTTAAGTATCGCAACTTTATTCTCTTATTGTTATCAGCCAATGTACAGTAACTGACTTGTCCTATATCATGTAACAGTGATATATATATAGAGACGAAATAAATAAATACATACACACACACCATCGGCATGGACCAGCAGCTGATGTGTCCCGTCTAATTTCAGTCCCACCTGGTTTTCCTGGACCTTCCTAATGGTATACTTAAAAGCAAAGTCCTGTGATATCACTAAATACAATTATTGTTATAAATATGATACTATCAACTATAATAATGAAATTACCCATTTGATTGTTTTCACAAATCTTTTTCAGGCTTTCATTTCTAACAGATAATGTGATCACATTGAAAGTCTTCTTGGGTGATTGTTCATGTGAGGATGAAGTTATAGTTCACCACTTTGGACACTTTCTGTGTCTCCATCATCAGGACTTCACTGCTATTGATATCACTTTGCATGTTAAACTATGAGAAAATTCCTTCCAACATCTTAACTGAACACCATCACATTCCTTTAAAATATCACATCAATTCTTGAAGACAGAACAGATACAGTGTCTGAAATGTTGGATACCAACACGGCTGATCACCTGAGAGGACTTCATTGCAAATAATCACTACAAGAGCTTCAAATCATTCATAATGTAATCATTGCTGGTTGTTTTGCTTTCAGATGTCCACCTAAATGTTGCAGTGGATAATTTTCTCCTTACATTGGAACCTATTGACATTGAATCAGACTCTCAGCCTATCATATAAAAGCTAATTAGCTGTACATTCTTCTCTCTGGCACCATCAGTTATAGACACAGTACCAGTTCCAGCCAATCACAGTGCAGTATTTAGACTTGATAGTGAGACAGGAGAACTGAGAACAGCCATCGGTATATTTGGCTTTGATGATGGTATGCTTATTTTTCTAGCAAGGAACCAACATGAAGCAGGGCATAGTTACTAACTGCTTCATAGTGGTTTCTTGCTTGGCTTACTCTTTCACTTTGAATGTGGAGGCATTAGGTTTTTCTGAAACATCAGTTAACCTTCACCAGACAATGACTAGCTTTGGAATCATGCAATGCAATGCAGTGTAAAGTAAAGTAAAGTAAAGTAAAGTCCAGAACAGATAAGTAATTTGCTGGTGGCCTTTGTGAGCACAGTCATCCATGGTTTGGCCCCCATTGTGACCCATGACCATTTATTTGTTCATTCCAAGTGACCACTTATGTGTTTAAAGCAGTTTAGGCTTTGTCCTGGCCAAGACTTGAACGAAGCATATGCCAAAAGGATGTCAGAAGCAGTACTGCATGAGCAGTTTTGCTTGGTTTTATGTTCTTGTAATAATAATTCATGGACTTACATTTGTTGTTGTGCATGTTTCCAGCTGGTTTGTAATGAAACTATGATCTCTTAATGATATGAAATCATTGCTTCAAGAACCAAATAATGTTTACCTGAATGATGTTTATGAGTACAACATCCAAGGTCTTCAGGTAACCATAGTTTTCAGATATGTGAAGGACTGATAAGTAATAGCTCACGACCTCAGTATACAGCCGTTGTGATAGTGTGGGTTGTCTGAAGTGTATGTGATATGAATGATGTTTTGAAAATTGTATCACACTCTTCCATCATCAGGTGTAAGGAGGAAGGAAGCCTACTCTGTTGAGCCCTTTGGAAGACTAGTCCTGTTCACTGGATTACAGAAGAAGTTTATTTGGTGTGTGTATTCTGTTAATGTCAAATATCATCAGTGGGTGATAAAAATAGAAGAATCTCTAATGAAAATTACAAAAGAAACTATGAGAATGTAAAACTGAAATCCTCTGTGTAGGGCTCCATCATACTCCATCGTAGTCACTAGAAGCACCTAAAAGGTGACAGGATCGGATAATATTCTAAGGCCCATGAGTACGGTTGATTCACTGTACAGATCACGGCTGCATATTCCAATACATTTGAGGTAAATTTTAGAATTTGTATGAGAGCTGCTTGTGCATCCATTTGACGCTCTCATTTGTTTGTATTGTAGGCAAATTTATTTTGTTGTAGCCCTTATTAACATTTCTGAACCAAATTGAATTTTATTGTATAGTATTTGACAGCATGGAGTCCATTTCATGTGAGGATGATGAGGATGAGTTTTGGATCCATTTCAGGGAATATCATCTCCAGTGACAAGTATATAAGTTGAGGTTATAGCCATAAATGATGTCATTTTCCAAGTAAATGTTTATCACCCACATTTTATAGAACCTACACTGAATTTTCTGTATTATGTATTTGTGCATTTGTTTCTGGAGATGAACGCAGTGCTTTATTTTTTGGTCAGCTCTTCAGAGAAAGGCTGAAAATATTCATAAGACGCTTCAGAAATTTGTCTTTGGCTTAATTTAAAATCTTGTGTGTCTGACTTTTATCATTTAATAGTACTTACATGTGATACTTGAGGGTCTTGATGGTAGTAATGATAATGATTACTGTCTTCTATGATGAAATTGTGTGTAGTTTAGTAGAAGTTTTTAATAGAAGTTTTTACATGTGTTTTGGAGGAACATAACTGCCTATATTCAGGATTGAAAAACCAGTCTTTAACCATGAAAGATGGAGGCAGAAATCTGTAAATTGTTTTTAGTGTCTCTTAAAAATTTAGTGATTCAGACATAAAATGGTTTAAAGGTAAACCTGAGTTCTGTTCTTAGCACATACTTTGAAGTAAGCCGGGTTTTATTGGCAGAGGACCATGTTTCATACTTCTTTTTGTATCTGTGTTAGAATGTACTGATATTTCCTTCTTTCTTGAGACACCGTCTACTGTTTCTAAAGTTGCAGCATCACTGAGAATGCCTTTGTGAAAAGATGTGCTCTAAACTCAAAATTACTTAGTTGCAAACTACAGCCATCCATATGTCATCTTCACATACATAATTAGAAGCTGGAAATGAGGAATACACTTTGATGCAAGATATGTGTGATCCAGCATTGGAAATATGCAACAAGGTGATGGAATGTAATTATACATGGCAGCAGTTGGCACCACTATTTGCTGGCCAAGTTAACCTGGTATACATGTAAGTCAATATTTTGTCTTTTTTTACTTCTTAATAATCCTTATTTGTAAGAAATTTATCTCTGTTTTTTATTACAAACATCATTAATGAATATATATGCTGTGATTTTAAAGGCAGAATATTTATTTCCTTGAAGAGATCTCTACATGATTCCCTGTAACCATGACCCATCATCAATCGTGACGAGTTTCGCCAGTGAATCAAGCCATGTCATGGCTGAATGGAAGTAAGAATAATAAGTAATTTTCAGGGTATTTATAGACATAAGTGGTTTTATGTTCCTTATCATGTAGCAGGCTGAGCTTAATTTATTCATAACCTCTTCAATATGTCTTTCCCAAGTCAAGGAGCTCTCAATAGTCAAGCCAAGAAATTTAGTGGCATAAGAGCTCATAATGTGTGTACCTAAATTTCCTATATCCCTCTCAACCAACATATTGTTTTTTGCAGTGAAATTGATGCAATGTGTTTTCACTGTATTTAATGACAAGAAGTTCTTTTTAAACCAATCAGCAAGTACCCCATAAACTTCATTTAGTGTATTTTTAAACTGTAAAGAATTAGCAGTGAAACCAAAACACTAGCATTGTCTGCAAATAAAATAGGGACACTATTTGACTCCAAAGTCTTAGGTAAGTCATTTATATATACTATAAACAGCAGTGGTCCCAGCACTGAACCTTATGGGACCCTGTTCGTTACTTTAACACATTCAGAGAGTATTTTTTTATTGTCTAGTCCATTTAAAATTGTTGTTCTCTGAAATCTGTCTTGTAAATAAGACTTACAAAGATTATATTGTTTATCATTTATTCCATAATACTTCAATTTATCCAATAATACTTCATGACTAACACAATTGAATGCTTTTTCCAAGCCACAGAAAAAGCCACTAATGTTTTATGATTTAGTGAATTCAATATTTCAGAGCTTAATCAAAAAATAAAATTATCAGTCCCCAGATTCGCTCTAAATCCAAATTGATGGTTACTTCAGATGTTATTCTTATTAAGATGCTTTATCAGTCTACTATACATTACTTTCTCAAATATTTTATTAAAGGAGATCATGTAAATAGAAATAATATTCCTGTCACCTCTTTGTACACTGATACAGTCATGGCATATTCTAGCCTGTCTGGAAATACATCTTGAAACAAAACTCTGTTACATAGTTAATTTAATGGAGCACTAATGAAATTGTTACAAGCTTTTAGTATATTATTAGAAATTTCATCATAACCATAATTATGGCTTATTTAATGGCCTAATGTTGATATACAGTGTGCTGTAGACCAGTGCTTCTGTGAAGCGAAATGTGTGGATTATGGGTTAGCCTGACTTGACAGGAGAGTGTCCAACTCCTCTGCCAGAATGTGTGCTGATTCATTTGCACTGCATTGGTTGTCAAGCTTGGGAGTTTTATTTGTTATGGCAGTGTGTGGGTATCGTTCCTTGTTGAGATGGTCTGTTCCCATGTGTGAACCAGCAGGTTACTAGGATTTTATGAACTTTTAAAGGTTTTTAAAGATTTTAAGTTTAAAAATGTGTTCACATGCGACAGACTAAGGTGACAGTGCAGTTTCGACAAAAGTGCCTACACCTGATGATGACTGTATGAGGATGAAACACTTTGTAAAATCATATATACAACACAAAAATAAAACATTGCATTTAAGATGGTGGTGACATGTACAAGAGGTCAGTACTCATGCAATGGGATGCTGAAATACATTACATAAAAATATTGTTCTGAGAATCACAGGCCCCCTGAAATGTATGTGAGCCATTCAGAACAGCAAATACTTAATCAGTAGTGAGCCAGTTCTTGATTAGGATACATTATTATGTCCTTTTCTCACAGCGTGCCAGAAAATGATGCATATGGAAATACAAATTTGTAATTATTAATTTCCTGCATTTGTTAAGAAGAGTACTGTGGAGTGATGAAGATGTGAAATGGGGATGAACATTAGAAGTACTACAAAAATGTGATAACCACAGGAACTATAGGAGGTCCTATTAAATGCACAAGTTGTGGTAAGGATATGGTCTGTAAACTGTGTCTGTTTTCAACATTCAGTGGGAATCAAACTTGCAGTAACAGGGGCTGGACTGAACACACTGGACTTTTCTAACAGTAATGACTCAGATTAAAAGTTTTATAGAGAGAAGTTAGTTGTATGGAAGAGATTTAGAGGATCTCTAAGCTTTGCAAATAAGTGTGTACTGTCTTGTTTTGTTCCTGCATCACATGGTGATGACAGGATGTTGACAAGACAACTATTCCCAGTGTCATTGCACCACAGAATGTATAAACAAGGTCAATGAATAATCCTCTGATCCAGGGGAGTTCGTGAGAACACGTGACAGTTCTGACAAGTTGATTCTGCACTCACTTGGACCCCATTTGGTGCCTACAACTGACAGGTATGTCAAACAGCAACATCCATCAGTTCACTGGGGATATGATTTGGGGGGGGGGAGCTTCAGCACCCCATATAATTATATGTATGATTTAAGAATATTTTCATTGATTCATGAGTGTTTTCATGTTGTATTTTTTAGCTCTTACCACTTTGTTGCCGGAACCAACAGCACTAGCACTTCCCTCTTCATGAGCCTGATGCCATGGAGCTGAACACTACTACCAGTTGTGCTCCTACTCAAGAATTTCCCAACATTTCATGGAACCTGAAAATTAATTGCCATGTTGACAACCTGACATAACTGAATTTGAGGTATTTATGTTTCCAGAGATTATTATTTAAATTGGAGGTGACACATGTGAAGAACATGAAAGACTTACTGGTCAACTACTGAACAGTTCATTTCACATTCTTATGGCAAAATAATGAGCCAAGAGATGTTTTCACATTCTTAGGTTCCTCCGCTTTTCAAACAGTTCTTTTACAATGAGGTCTGAAACTGTGACTGCCTGTGGACACTACAACACATCTTCAACTTTCTGAATGATTCTTGCTCAAAATATTATGCACTCTGAACATCTGTCTGTGGGCAAAATAACAGTACTTATCAAGAGGGGTGTAATTTTCAAACACTACATACCCAAGAAACTCAACAACTCTGGAAAAAATACTTGAGTTTTGGGACATGTATGGCTGCACAACTCTGCTTTGGGATGACAGGACACTTGTGACTGGAGATATGATTGGAACACAAGAAATATTAAATCAATCAACAAGAAAGTTAGAAAACCATGGACACAAGCTACATGTGAAAAACTTCTTTTCCTTACATAATTTGTTCAGTGATCTGACAAAGAGAAAATCAACTGCTATTGGAGAAACTTAGCAAAAAATAAATGCCACAAAACCTACCAATACTGACCTGAAACATGACATTTATGCTAGACAAGAGATGATTTAAATAAACCATGGTATATACATACTGTTGTATTGCAATTCGAACATTCCACAATCACTTGATGTAGTCATACTGTTATAGAATAAAGTCTTATGTTACGTATACAGATGAAATTTTTTTGTGTTGGTAAGATAATTTTCCTCAATTTACACATCAGGTTATGTGCCCAGGCACATAATAAGGAACAGCCAATTTGATTAATGAAGTGAGACAGAAGGTAAATTCGTTCGAGAAAGTACAAAGGACAACGTGTTGGATTGGAATTTTATTCAACATGGAAGAAGTGAAATACAGGAGCCCATTGTTTGATGGAAACAATTATGTGGACTTGAAGTTTCGTATGACGGTAAATTTAGACGAGTTTGATTTATTAAGAAATACCGAAACTCCGCTAAGTAAATTGATGGAGGAATATCCGGAACCAGAGAATGCAGAAGCTGCTGATGAAGCCGCTGTGCGAATGGTAAGGAATGGATTAATTCAGAATGATAAGAAGTGTAAAAGTAGAATAGTACAACGAATGCAAGATGCCCAGTTGGAATATGTGAAAGGACAGGAGACTGTTATGATGTCTGGAAGAGTCTACAAGATGTGTTTGAGATGAAAGATATGACTAGTAGAGTAATGTTGAAGACAAAGTTGTTAAATTTGAAGAATCAACCATCTTTAGAGACACTAAGTGAAAATTTTTTTTAAGTTTGAGAAAATAATACGAGAATTGGAAGGGACTGGTTGTAATAATAATAATAATAATTTTATTTTATTTAACATTCATCATAGTTTCAAATTGTAACTTTTGAACAAGTCACATACATATACAACTTTTCCAGTCTAATTTGACTCCTGCCCAATCAGTTGAACATCATCAAATATCACTATAACATAACATTCAATTACAATTAAAATCACACACCCGGTATAATTAAAATATATTAGGTACAGTCAATTTACAACTATCTTCCATTATAAAAAACTAGGTCACCTTACTATATACATCTTAATTACCACCGTCATATTCTTAAATTTAAAACCTGTTATACTCCACAAAAGATAAAATTCAATTTAGATAATGATTAAATACTTTGGAGTGCAGTGTCTTTTAAAACTTCCATTCCCTTTTTAGGCTGAATCATATTAAAAAATACTCCTAATTACTAGTCATTTTATTTACACTTAAAATCTATTTATCAAGGAAAGTCTTATTCGTTTAACTATCCTTCTGAGAGGAACTCATGCAAATTATACCATGAGCATTCCAGTAAATATCTTTTCAGTCTATGTAGGAATTCTCTATCTGCTTTTACCATTCTTAGTTCCAAAGGCAGTCTATTATAAAGCTTAATAGCCATATTTGTTACACCCTTCTCATATGTTAAGGTATTATAACTTTGCATCTGAAGGTCTTCTTTCTTTCTCGTGTCATACTTGTGTAGGTCAGAGTTTTTTGTGGTGTAAATGTTATATTTCTTGAAATAACGTAACACCTCTAAAATATACAAAGATGCTATCTTTAAAATTTTTAATTCTCTAAATATAGGTCTACTTGATGTTCTTTTTGTTACCCCTTTCATTATTCGAAGAACCCTTTTTTTGTAAAATCAGAATTTTTTTACTTTCAGTTTCTCCCCCCCCCCCAAAAAAATATTAAACCATAACTTATTTGAGATTGGAATTTAGCAAAGTACACATTCCTAGGGACATGTGGGCTTACTTCGCATTTCAAAGCTTTAATAATGTAACACACCTTACTGAGCTTTGTACAGACCGACTGAATATGAATGTTTCATTTTAATTTGTGGGTTAAATTAATACCAAGAAACCTAAACTGNCTCCTTGTATCTTCCTGATAAATGACTGACACACTGATATTGTTGATTTATCTTTTTGGAATCCATATTGTTTTTCAGTTAATATTTTAAATTTGGCTGTAAAGGACACCAGCCTATTGTATGCTATTTTTTCCAAGATCTTTGAGAATACTGATAGCACTGATATAGGTCCATAGTTGCTCGCTTCATGTTTGTTTCCTCTTTTATAAACTGGCTTGATCTTTGCAGTTTTCAATAAGTCAGGGAAAACTTCTTGATCTGTTGATTCATTAAATATCAAATTGAGTGGTTTTTTTTATACTTGTGATGCATATTTTTATAAGAAAATCTGGGATTCCATCAGCTTCCTCTGAGGGTTTGCCCTTTAATTTAGATGATTCTATGACAATTTCTTCTTCTGAGATAGGCCAAAAATACATTGAATTTGGGTTTCCTGTTACAACTTTTTATAACGACATTTCTTTGGTCTTACTCTTGTTTTTCTCCACAAGTTCTTCAACTTTGTCTATAAAATATGAGTTCAGTGTGTCAGCCACCTCCTGGGGGTGGGATATTTTCATATTATATCCTTGTAGCCATATCTCCTGGTCATCCTTTCCTACTTTGCCCATTCTTTTATTTATTATCTGCCATATTATTTTATTTGGGTTAGATGCCCCTTCTATCCATTTATCATTTTGTCTCTTTTTTGCTTCTAAAATAACCCTTTTATATATCCTTTGATAACTACTGATATAGCTTACTATTTCGATTGGCAAAGCTATCCTCCATTTTAAATTGTTTAAAACCCTCATTTTCTGGCAAGATATTTTTATTCCTTTTGATATTTATTTCTTATTCTTAGTATTTCTCTTTATTACTGGTTTCAGTGGAAATACTTGATTAAAATAGTCTAATTTTTTTTTATAAATTGCTTATATGTCTCATTTACACACATTTCCACATATATTTTCCCCCAAGATTCACTAGTCAACAAGGTTATAAATTTAGCAATATTGTCCTTGGTATACTTTCTTTTTAAAGTTTTTTCCTCTCATTATTACCTTTGTCTATTAATACCCATAAAATCTGGGCCAAATGGTCCAAATACCCCATATTTATAATCTCAATGTAATTCTTGTTAAACTATCTATTTAACACTATCATATCTAACGGTGATTCCGAGATACTAGTAGCTCTTGTTGGACTAGAGACTATATTTATTAAATTATAAGATACTAACAAATTTTCAAGTGACTGGACCTGCTCATTTTCCTGGAGCAGGTTTATATTCCAGTCTCCACAAATTATTAATTTTTTTGTTTTTTGTTTTTGTGTATTCTCTCAATGAGAGATTCGAGTTTCTTCAAGAATATTTTCACATCACCTTGAGATGATCTATAAATACATATCAATACCCATTTAAGTTTTTCAGTTTCCACACCTGATATCTCAAAAGTTTTTTTCACTACTCAGTTCATTTAAAAACGTGACTTCCCTTGCGTTCACCTCTTTGTTTACAAATATACATGATCCACCACTCTTACTTTCCTTTCTACAAAATTTAGTAACCAGTTTAACCTTACCCATTTCTACCAAGGTTAGTGAGAATTCGTCCAACCAGTGTTCAGTAAAGCACAGTATATTTACATCCTGCAAGCTAGAGTTTAAAAGTACTGTCAATTCCATAAACTCTGAACATTATGGTGTAAGATTATAAACATGTTATCTTTTAAATTCCCTCTTGCTTCTCATTTACTTAAACTGTTACTTATGTTTTCCCTTGTTATTTCCATAAATAATCCTGGTTCATTTTATGGATGAAACAGACAAAGTATGCCACTTGTATCTCAGCATGTCTGCTGAATATGAAATAATAGTAACACCATTGAGAACATTACCAGAAAAGAGTTAAACACTTGCCATGTTGAAGGGTCAGTTATTAGAAGAGGAGATGAAAAGAATGACCAAAAGGGGTGTTACGAAACCAAAATTGAACACTGATACAGTTACCGCATTCAAATCTCACAAGAACTATCAGCAATCAAAGTGGAAGGAGGAGGTAGTGGCATCACTTTTCTGTTCAATTGTCATAATTATGGGATTAGAGGACATAAAAGAAGTAATTGCAGGAAACTGGTTCAGCACAGTGGTAATTATTGTGGAGGGTAACCCTAGTGGAAATCAACCTAATGGCAGGCACAACAAAGGAAGTAATTGTGTAGGACAATGGCTCCATGGAAGTCACCAGAATGGAATTAAACCCCAACCAAAATGGAGGAATCAAGAAGGAAGTGCTCAGTGTACAGAAAAGGTCCGAAGTGAAGGAGAGGCTGGCAAACCCTACACATTTGTTGCTAGGACTGATAATGGTGAAGTGTATTTAAGTGCAAACCATAATTTAACATGGGTATTAGACTCTGGAGCTGCGGATCATCTAGTTAAGGAAGATACATGTGTGATAAACAGATATGAGTTGCTTGTTCCAACAAACTTTCATATTGCTAACAATGATAGTTATTCAATGGCATATGCAAAGGGAGATATAATAACAGAGTCCTGTGTGAATAGAGAGATAAGGAACATTAAGATTTCAGACTTGACTTACAACTTATTATCATTGTCTAATCTAGACAGGATGGGTTTTGTTATGAATATAGAAACTGGTAAAGCAGAGATAATAAAAAATAGTACAGTTGTTGGAACTGCAGATCGAGACAGAAATTTGTATAAATTGATAATGTTATATATATATATGAAAGTTCTAGATGGTATTGAAAACTGTGAGAATAAGGTATGCAAGTTAAAGAAATCATTGTATGGACTGAAACAGCCATCAGCAGTCTGGAATAAGAATTTTGATGAGTTTGTCAAAGGGAATGGTTTTAGAAAGTGTGATGCTGACAGGTGCTTATATGTGTGTAATAAGAACCAGACCATCTTATATTTGCTACTGTATGTAGATGATTTTATAATTGCTAGTAACTGTATGGAAGAGCTGGTAAAAACTAAAGAGATCATGATGAGGAAATTTCAAATGAGAGATATGGGAGATCTGTCATATTTCCTTGAAATCTCAATTACTCAAACTGATGGAAATTTATATTTGGATCAATCAGCTTATATAGACAGAGTTTTGAAGAAATTTAACATGGAAAAGTGCAAACCAGTTAATACACCTATAGAGATATCTCCATCAGAGAACTTAGGATCTGAAACAGTTATAGGAGTTAAAACTTACAGAGAGTTATTGGGTGGTCTGTTGTGTACAGCATTAATTACAAGACCAGATATTTGTACTGCAGTAAATTTCTATGGAAGATTTCAAAATTATGCAACAGAAATTCAATGGAAGGGTTTGAAACGAATTCTTAGATATGTGAATGGGACTAGAACTGTTGGTTTACAATATCAAAGTAATGATAATGGTGAACTGATGTCATTTGTTGATTCTGTGCATCACATGAAGATAGTTAATCAGTATCAGGATGTGTAATTAAGGTATATGGAAATACAGTTGATTGATACACTAAGAAACAGAGCACAATTGCATTGTCATCAACAGAAGCAGAATTTAATGCTTTGTCAGAGGGTTTAAGAGAATTGGGTTGGGTAAATAAGTTACTGGAAGAAATGGGTGTGAAGGTGAAAACTCCAGTAATCATGCATGAAGACTGTCAGTCATGTATACACATGATTACTGGTGAATGGGGTCAGAAAAGGTTATGTCGTATGGACATTAAGTATAAGTTTATAAGGTACTGGGTTGAACAAGGATTTATAGTAGTTAACTGTATAAACTCTGAAAATCAAGAGGCTGACTTGTTCACCAAACCGTTACTACTTATTAGGATTTCAAAACTAAAGAATAAAACAGGAATGATTGAAGTTAATTAGTTGTCATCTTTATTTGAGTAATTAAGTCTGTGTTATGTTTGGTATGATCTCGAAGTTATTGGTGGAATGAAGAATTGAGGAGGGGTGTTTTATAGCAATTCTAACATTCCACAGTCACTAATACATATTCCTTTTAGTTGTGGAACTGACTCACTAAACTGTAGTCTCTTTGTCTTTTTGTATCCCAGAAGGCTGTGCAGTTGTCGCGTGTGATGTAGTCATNAAGTCAATGAGCAAATCACTTAAGGTCCATACTCATTAGACTCATTATGTTCAGAGACCATGATTGGGCCGATTTCTAAAATAAGCTTTCAGCAGTGCACTAGCTAACAGACAAAACATGCCATTTCAAAACAACACACTTTAGAAAATTGTTATCATTCTGTTTATGTTCATGTCTGAAAAATTCAGATACCACATAATATTTATTTTACAAAGTATTTAAATTGAAGCAACTCTACAGACAGGAAATTATTTATCAAAGTCAGAAAATGCTGTACAACAGTAGTCAGGCAACTTTCATTTCGATCTGCTTGATGGCAAACAAACTGCTATAATTTTGGGTTCCCAAGATGAGTTGGTCCTGAAAATGACCCAAAAAGTCATAGTCCATCTTACACACAAGTGGGTCTTGCATGAGAAGCAACACTAAAAATATGGTGAATGCTAGAACCATGTCAGATATGACGTTCTCCCTGCAGGAACTAGGAAAGGGATTATCTTTTTAGTTGTAGGATGGTGAATTTCAAAGACAGCCTGATGTTTCAGAGAACCATCATTTTTTTGGATCAAAGAGTTAGCCAAGAATGAAACCACCAGAAAGAAGATATGAGCTGAAAGAAGCTTGCCAATTTACATCTCCTGGATTTTTGCTTTGTTTCCTTTTCAGTCCCTGAATATGTAGGGTATGTATTCCTCCAAAACATTGTGTTCTCTTTGAACTAAATGGCATGTGGGAACTGCCCACACTCGAGCAAATATGATAACGCAAGTATCATTGCTTAGCAACGGCGAGTAAACCCAGAAGAGTATATTCTTCTTTAGAACCACAGTTAATGCAATGGTACTGCAGTTTTCTGATACAAGAAATTACATCTCAGCTGGGATTATTAATCAATAAGGCATTGTGGGATGCAACTAAGATCTGAATATTATTGTCACCTATACATGAAAGCCAAGCCTGCAAACATAGTGGGAAAATTAAACAAAAACTTCTAAATATAAATAAATATTTCCTAACTCCTCCTTCCTAACTATTACATATATCAAATATGTGAAATGGTAGTGCTTACAGTCCCGAAATTCTGGAAGTATGCACATAAATAATGCTATTCATATTTCTTAAAGACACCTTGCACCTCAACCATCTTCCCAAAGAAGGGCAAAATACAAAATTTCTATGCCCAATAATGCCGGAAATTGTTGCTACATTACAGATATATGACTAGCATGACCATGGATTACTAAGCGAGAACAGATCCTTTGGAATAAACACGTTAAATTTATTTCATATTACATAATGTCTTGAAAATACGTATCAAATAAGTAATAAAACTGTATGTTATCACACCTAATTAAATTAATGTTCAAGACCAGTGGATACCAACAAGTTTGGCAGTACCATTTCTATAGGGTTTAGATCAGGGTGATATGGTGGAAGTGTGTTGATGACTTTGCAGAAGCAGGTCCAAACATTGGTTTAATTTTATAAGTAATGCTTCTAAAATCGGCTTTTAAGCATTCAATAAGGTATGAATGAAAGTGTAAGGGAATGACCACAATAATTTGCGCCTTGCACTGTGACCACCAATGATGTGTTGTGCTTCCCCTTTTGAATAACCCTTTCTGAATCCTACACATTGAATGAAAGGTAGAACTTTTTTATGGGGGCCTCATAGTAGTCGTTTTGTTCCATAAAAGACTGGCCTAGGAGACAAAATTTTAAATAAGCTGTGGCCTCACAATCTCTTACGATATGTGTGGCTGATTCATCGTCTTCTAGGTACCTTTCACAAGTGGGATCACCTGTCAATCTCAGTTTGAAAATGTGTCCCTTTAGGTGAGAAAGTCCTGTAAATATTCATACCACCCATCTTAATTGGTCTCTCCTTAATTTTAACAGATTCTTCATTCTTCTGGCAGAGAGTCCTAGTATAAGTCCCTTTGACTGTCTGAGTCCAGTTACGGATTCCCAATGTCTTCCATGATTTCTGTTCCTCAAGTCCCTGACCACTTTCTTGGCAACTGAAATTGAAATGCCACAAGCTTGTTCAGTTCTTATGATGGGATGTTCGTGTCTTGTTCCTTCAAGCTGATCTGCTGTTTCATTACCAACAATGCCCTTATTACCTGGCACCCATATAAGTTGAACTCTGTTAAGTTTGACGAGCTGTATGAGGGTTTGATGGCAGTTCCAGACAACTTTTGAGGTGATGTGATATTTTCAAGCGCTTTAATTGCAACTTGACTGTTAGAATGTAGATATTTCTGTTTTTATAGTTCCTACATTCTCAACTGCACATGACATAATGACATACACTTCTGGCTGGAATACTGTTGTGTACTGTCCAAGGCTAAAGCTAAGTTTCCACCTTGATCCATGGCCCCACACTCCAGCTCCAGTGCTCCTGTTTACCAACAGGTGTATGGTGATATGCCAGATATTGGGTGGTATATGTGAAGTGAATTGTGCTGGAAATGAGACCTTTATAATCTAATTCGGAGAGTGACATTTGATCAGATTTGAAAGAGATTTCAGAGAAGAGTCTTATGGTTTGGCATGAGAACAAAGTCTTATTTTACTCACTATGACACATACTCAGTGTGTCCAGATTCTGTTAGGACTGTATTCATTAAAAATAAAAGATGTGAATTATTTTCAAAATTTCACTCCTTTTATTCAAAATAGTCCCCTTCTGAATCAATACATAGCTGGAATCGATTGAAAAGTTTTCGAAAACAGTCACTGTACTCCTCGATGAGTCTTGCAGAAACACATCTGTCTGATGCATGGATTTCGGTCACTTTTTCCACATTTTCTTCAGTGTGACTTGTTCTCAGCTTTGATGCACGTGGAGTTTTTTCAATGTCCTTGCTGTCACGAAATACAGCATACCATCGAAAAATGTTCGAGCAACTCAAACAATCACTACTGTACACACTTTTCATCATTTCGTACGCTTCTTCAGCAGTTTTACCTAACTTCAAACAAAATTTGATGTTGGCTCTCTGTTTAACCGCCATTTTCTGACGAGCGCCAGAACAGTACTGTTACATTCAAGGTCAGCGATGCTTGCGCTTTGAAATTATAGACAGCCACAGCTGAAACTTCAAGAATCTTAACGCCACAACTCGCCAACAGATGTCATTGCAGTGCAACATTTAAAAAAATGAGTCCTAACAGATCCTGGACACACAGTGTAGGCTCCATTTGTTCTCTGACAATGAAAGAAAGGATATATATATAGTGTAGAATGGGGCACTCTACAGAACAATATTCCTGAGAAACAAAATAGGTACTACTGTATCAACATTTTTTTTTTATTTTGCTGTTGACGCTACATGTTTCAGCCATTATATTGGGCCATCATCAGGCATACAGTGATTCTAGACCTAGTTCTTGAATTGCATGTAATGTTGATACTATAGTGTCCATTTTGTTTTTCAGGAATATTGTTGTGTAGACTTCCCCCATTATACACATTATATATCCTATATTTGACACACAACAGGATGCATACTATTAAGGCTGAAAGAAAGATATGCTCAGAAGGTTTACTTCATCAGAACCAGAAACCTACAGGTATTTTACTTCAGTGTGAAGACTTGCTCCTCTAGAGTCAAAGCACTTCATTACTGACGATTTTACATTAATAAGTCTGTCCAGGCACTGAATTCTTCTTGGGGTGATGGTCAAATTTTTGGTGTGATTGTCTGTCCGCTGTGATCCTGCATCAGCAGTTTCATTGAGACCATTGTCCAGGTATCTGCGTCACGGCCTTCCACAAACCGTTTGGTCCCCACTCGCCAGGGGCGTTGAAATACATCTGATGTATTGTGCGACCCTGCAACATGTCTGCCTGATGAGGTGAAGCCTTGTACTGGCGAGAGTCGAACCCAGACCGGGAGCATCTCTCTGATGTAGTGAGACGTCTCAGGCTTGAACCACCTGTAAACAAAGGAACACGCTTTGCTGTGCTTACACGGATGAAGACTTTTAGCATATTCATTCTCGGAATTGAGTCTCCACCCTTCGAGACACGGTGGGATTCCTTAGACAAGGTGCCATTGCTCGCAAGGTATCTGTCTTCTTAATCCTACACAGAAATTCATGCTAGCTAGAAGCGGTATTTGAACCTGTCAACCCGATCACTGCCTTATGATGTCAACAGCCTAGAGCCCATTGTCAATGGATTCTGTTATTTGCTGCAAATATTATGGCGAAGGTGATCAAGGGCTATATGGCTGTATGGAACATGGTTTTTCTTGCAGAGTCGATACGGAACTTAGCAAGAATTTTACTGCTTTTATGGAAGCAGAAAATTATGACCTTGTTTACGAAGGTTCACCACTGAACCTTTAGCTAAACAAATTGAATCTAGCCTAAAATTTCAGATCATATATTCTGTAAGAGAAATTTTATTACCTTCTTCCTCCACAGGAACATTCAAGTCTGCTTAAATCCAAAGTATCTTCGTTCTGCTAAGCATGAAGATTGCTTTGTTTGCAGAGTTCATCTCTGAGTTTATTATAACTTAGTAGTTTAATGCATAGTGGAACCTGTCTACATTGGTTCCACACAAATATGTCCAGCTTAAGATGGTCAACTTAGAGAGTTTAGTGTTAAAATTTTGCCCCTTATATGTTGCCGTAACTATGAATCCTAACTCTTCGTTCAACAGTCGCGAAGTTTGCTGCATGGCATTTCTGAAAATATTCTGAACGATTTTCTTTTTTATTGCTAGTGGGGTGGGACTAAGTCCCTCGTACTGCGGCAACTTCTGGCATATTGTACCAGCCCCAGATGATAGGTGAGGGTGATTGTGGAGCAATTTGTGGAATGAAGATTCGCAAGGGAACCCGAAGTACTCGGAGAAAATCTGCTCCAGCGCCACTTTGTCCACCTCAAATCCTACTTGACCAGACCCGGCATTGAACCCGGGCCGCCGCGATGGGAAGCCAGCGACTAACTGCTTGAGCTATGGCGCGGCCTTTCTGAACAATACTAATTAAATCTTTGTCGGTTTTATATAATTTGCTTTTCCTTTCCCTGCTCCAGTTCTCCCCCCCCAAACCTTCGCAATCCATCAGATTCTTAGGGGGTTTATTCACTGTCTGACATCTCTGTCTACCTAGTTCACAGCTTCCTCTCTATGCTCAATATTTAACTCGTAAACTTTGTTTTTAATCCATTTGACGATACTACTAATAGATATACGCACGTCTCTGATCACAAGGCAATGTGCATAGGTTCTTCAAGAAAGCATGATGTGATATGACCACACACAAAAGTGTATGACTGGCCTTCGCCTCAATAACACAAAAATTCTTTCCTCTAATCGAAAATCTGAATGAAGATCCACAGATGAAGCGAGGTTTATACTTCTTGAAAATTAAAAATATTATTGCTTAGTCATTTAGACGACATACCTGGCTTCGAGAATTCTATTATTTGTGAAACCCAAAGAATGAGTATAAGGGGGGGGTTCAGCATATAAGTAAGAGACAGATGGATGAAACATTTTCAATTGTACAGAGTGATATCAAAATAAATGTTTCTTTTCTGTGTGGGCAACGAGAGTTTAAAAAATATGGTGAACCAGAGCAAGAAATGCAACAAGGTGAACATGTACGAGATATACAGATGGACAATTTAAAATAAAAGATTTTTTTTCATGTTATATTTTAGCGTCCTGTTGTACTGAGTTTTTTTCAGATACAAATTAGAAATATTCTGATGTTTCTGTAAATATTAAGCCAACCATTACAGATGACTGAATCGCAGAGATGGCCAAATACACATGTTTCACTGTAAAAAGAAATGGAGACATCTAAAATTCTGCCTAGTCCTACTTGTACAATTTCCTCAGCAGGAAGTAAAAATTGAATAATTCCGACTAAGAATGTGTCGTACTTAAGGAGGAGGGGTGAAGGTCTCTGTGCCCCCAACAACCACGACAGAAATATGGGGGGAGCAATGTGGTGCTCCACGCATACATATGCAAAGGCTGAAGCGTCTTTATTTGTGTGATAAGGGGCTGAGTGGTTTCCAGACCAGTTCTAAACAGAATTGAGGAAGAAAAGGATTTCCAACCTCAATCTGATACTGACCATTCAGCTTCATTTACCAAACATGATTTCCTATATCATGTAGATTTTTTGATAAGAACTTACCAAATGGTGGTGGTGCAGGGCACCTCTCCATGGAGTAATCACCCATCTGTAACAAAGATTTTATTTTAGAATGTTCATGAATTTGACAAAACACGACACCTACAATCTGTTAATGTCTTGTATATATAAATATAGGAAGAAAAGTTTTCTTGTTATCTATGGAGTGATTAGTAGTGAGTCGAGATTATGGGCTTGTGAAACTATATATGACGTTAGTGTTGTGAAAAGTTTATTTTTGCATGAGACCTAATTTTCCAGTTTCCTGTTCGTATCTTTGTCCTGAAAATAACTGAACTTATGTTTTAACAAGAGACAAGAAGCTAAGTTACGTCTGCGTCAAATCACCACAGTTCTCAGAACTGGAGAAGTGCAGGTGGTGCTTCGCGCATTATTAAATTGGGCAGTAAATGAAAATGAGGTTGAAGATTTGTTCCCAAAACAAAGATCAATATGGGAAATCCAACGATCCGCTGGAAGGTGTCTGCTCAGCTCTGCATGGGTTTGTTTATTATTATTATTATTATTATTGTAACGTGTTTACGTTACCGAAGACCGTTGTAGAGATGGTTAATTGGTTTATTTAACAATCTACAAATAACGGCTACAATTACTTATCTCACAGTTGCGGGGTTTCACACTTTATAACCCTATGCGCAAATCAGTTCAGTCTGCCTTCAGTAGGCTACACGTTTACAGTCGGGGAGCTAGGTATCACTGTATCACACACACTCCCAATTACACAATTACACACACGTCCGGTTCTTCTTTCCGCGACGGCTGCTATACTCCACTATAGTCTGCTGACTGGAGAACTGTTGGTAACGCACTCGCTCGTCGACTACTTAACTCAGCGATGTCCACACTATAACTTGGAAATGTCTTCGGCGGTAGCCACACTGGAACTCTATGTCAGGCGGCTGCTACAGTAGAACTCGATGTCAGGCGGCTGCTACAGTAGAACTTGATGTCAGGCGGCTGCTACAGTAGAACTTGATGTCAGGCGGCTGCTACAGTAGAACTTGATCGTAACGTACTGTGCAGCTCACTTATATAGCTGCAGTGCTTGCCTGTGGCGTAATGAGTGCCACGTCACAGTAGGAAATTGATTACGGGTACGTTAGCGTTGCGTGTTACGTCACCGCGGAGGGGAGTGGCGGGGCGGGAACTCGCCTATTACCGTTGTAACGCGAACGTTACGTCACCGCCACGTACCGCTGGGGAGGTAGGGGTGATCCATGGCTCAGCACGTCACATTATTATTATTATTATTATTATTATTGTTACAGCCAATGCGCTTCAGCTTCTGATGGTGATCGTATGGAAACTGACGTATTTGGAACCAAAACAGTTTTTCTTTATCATATTTTATAATAATATCTTAATTATTAAAACATTTGTATTGAAGGTGGAGATGTCTGTATATATTTCTTCCCTTCGTATAATGATTGGCGTTATTAGTTATTATTGTGTGAATGATACAAATTCAGTATTTCTGTGTTATTTGTATGTTGCTTGGGCTGTTGAGAAACACATAAATAAAAAATAATTTAATTATGATTATTAAAGTGGCAAATTAAACTGAAATATTCACAGATATATTAATTAAAAGTGATGAATGTGGAACTTGAACTACTTAAACGTCCGTGACGATCGCCCTGACATCTAGTATTTGTTACACTCACATACTTTGTGCCTTATGAGCGACACTCGGAGTCTGCGCAGTCGCTTGTTGACCTCGCTGACCTCCCTGTCCACATCAGTCAAGTCTTTCTTCAGACTGTTTTCGATTTTCTAGAACAGAAATTATCATGTACGTGAAGTTACGGAAATGAAACTATGATGAATTCATGACACATACTGAACAATGGATATCAAAGTCTGTTTCATAGTGCAGTGTTAATCAGCCAGTGGAACGGGTACCACTGTTGGAACCTAATGGACGGCTAAGCGGGATATGGAGGTTTCGAAAATAATAATTTCCATTAATAAGGAAACAAAACGGACTTAATTGTAAAAATACACTTCCTGGCAAAAGAGAATCTATATTTTTATTTTATCATATTGTAGTTTGAGAAACTATTGTGATCGTTAAAAGTTGATCTCAGGTTTTTGAATGAATTACGTTTTCAGCAACTGTAATGCTATCAGGTGATAGAGTGACTATAGACAGGGTTTGGATTGATAATCGGATTCATTGAACTCTTAAACAATTCTTGACTACACTTTACAAATCACTATCACACACAGAGTAGTGTCCTCAGTCATGGTCTTTACTGCGTTGCCTGGTAGCAGCTTCCAACGGCGGACATTCTCCCTCCTCTGGGTTCCTGACAAAAGCTACCAGCTGCAACTCTCAACTGACTGTCCACCTGCAGACTCTCTCTCTCGACTCACTCATAAAGGCAGCTGGTCCTCAATATACAACCTCGGCCCGGACCGCACAGAAATCACCGCTACCAGAAACTCTTCTGTTGCATGCGTGTCATGTGGCGGGCGTCTTTGTTGAGCCATCCCTTAGTAACGGCTGCCTGCTGCCTTCAGATTTCTGGCTTTCAGCAGATATGTCACAATACGAATAGTGGTTTTTGAAATGCTACCTCTTTGTCTGCCTGTATTTCTCTATGCCAGCACGTGTGTATATTTGTGCTCATCTAACACCTGAGCAGTTCGAAGGAGTTTATTCATATTCGGTATTTAAGAGTTTAATCATATTTCAATGGTCATTAAGTGTGAACGTTGAAGTTAAAAAAATAATGGGCCTTTACAGAGGTCTCAAAAGGCAAAATTTTGATATTCTCGAAAGCAGATCGAACAACGTTGATCAAATTTCTGTAATTTATGGAGATCATATCTCTAATAGAGATACATGGTGTGTCCAGGATCCATTAGGACTCATTTTCTTTTAATTTTGCACTGAAATGCCATCTGTTGGTGAGTTGTGGCATTAAGATTCTTGAAGTTTCAGCTGTGGCTGTCTATAATTTCAAAGTGCAAGTATCGCTGCATCATGTGTTCTGATCTCTGATGTAACAGCACTGTTCTGACGCTCGTCGGAAAATGGCGATTAAACAGAGAGCCAACATCAAATTTTGTTTGAAGTTAGAGAAAACAGCCGAAGAAGCATACAAAATGATGAAAAGTGTGTACGGTAGTGATTGCTTGAGTCACTCGGACATTTTTCTATGGTATGCTATATTTCGTGACGACATGGAGGACATTGCAGATGCTCCAGGTGCATTAAAGCCGAGAACAAGTCGCACTGAAGAAAATGTGAAAAAAGTGACTGAAATCCTTGCATCAGACAGATGTGTTTCTGCAAGACTCATCGAGGAGCTTTTGGGAATACCAGGAAGCACTGTGCATCAAATTTTTACCAAGGATTTGGGCAAATGGAAGGTCTGTGCGTGGTTTGTACCGCACGCGCTGTCAGGCGATGAAAAACATGCCAGAGTGGAACACTGCAAAAACATGTTACGATCGGCCCAAAGTGACACAAAACTTACGAAATCGATTGTTCCTGGTAACGAGACATGGTGTTTTCAATATGAGCCTCTCACAAAGCGGCTGAGTGCATGTGGCTGAGCCCAAAGAAGCCGAAACCAAAGAAAGTGCGCATGCAAAAGAGTCGAGTAAAGACACCGCTAAACGTTTTCTTCGATTGCAAAGGAATCATTCACAAGGTATTTCTGCCAGAAGATCAAACAGTGAATTCTGATTATTATCTCAGAGTCCTCAATCGTTTGTGGCCGAGAATTCTTTGAATTCGACCTGAAAATTGAGAGCAAGGTTCCTAGTCGCTTCTCCACGACAATGCCCCACCCCACAAATCGAAGATCGTGCGAGATGTTTTGGTTACAAAATGGATCACAGTCCTTGATTATCCTCCGTATTCGCCAGATTTGGCTCCAGCAGATTTCTGGTTGTTCCCAAATGTTAAGTTGGCGATGAAAGGAGACCGTCACGACACCATCCAGGACATCCAAAGGGAATGTACCGCAGTTTTAAATGCGACTCCAGAAAAGAAGCACAGTGACTGTTTTCAAAAACTTTTTAATCGATTCCAGCTATGTATTGATTCAGAAGGAGACTATTTTGAATAAAAAGAGTGAAATTTTTAAAAACAATTCAGCTTGTATTTTTAATGAACACAGACCTAACAACATGGACACACTGTACATAGGTGGTAACTTCAAGCAGAAAACTATATGCCCTCTAACAGACTGAACTGAAAATGGCTTGACCACTCTTAGTTATATTTTAATGAAGTACAGGGACAATTGACACAAATAACGAGGTACTTATCTGTCAAGTGTGAGAAAGTATATGGAGTGATTTTTCATCGACACTTTCTTAGTGGAAATACGAGTTTATCTATATGACTGGTTGGATCTAGACTATAAAATGTTGAGGAATGTATATACGAAATACGTAGCAGGTCCTACTAGTTCAAAACTCATCTGTAAAACCTTGACAGCGGATGTCTCGCACTGTATTAAAAAAGGGGGGAAAAATGTATCTAATTGCAAGGTAGATCAAGTTTGTATTCCAGAGATTCAATCATCAAGTCTCACTCTTGCATCTGCTCTGAAATTTACACATGTCCGTCACTCCTCTCGGAGAAACACTACAATGATCGTCATGTTTTCCCCCTTGATTTCCAGTTACCTTTTTTGTAAAATAACATAGTAATAATTTTGCAGGGGCATGCGGTTCTGTAGTTGGTTGAGGTACTATGCTACAAGCCGGAAGGTCGTGGCCCTGGGGTCGACTCAGCCTCTAAAGGAATAAGCACCAGGAATCTTCCCAGAGGGTAGAGGACGGCCGGCGCGTAAGGCTGATAATCTTACCGCCATCTATGTTCCGATTGTCTAAAGCAAATGTGGGAGCCTCGACATCTCCCAACCCCATGGGCCTTCAAGGCCTGTTACAGGGATAATTTTACATAATAATTCTGCGTGAGAATATGGTAACACAGTGCGCACTGGTTGCAGGAAGCAGTAATATTGCCTGTAGGTGTTATCATCCAACGATAGTCTCTCTATCGTTAGCTATCATCATTTGCGTAAAACATGTTTAATTAGAAGATTAGCTCGAAAATTGTGTTTTTTTAATTTTTGTGTGATTTTCTGAATGGAGCCCCAAGTATGTACAAAATTACACTGTTCGGTTGATACAGCATCTATACAGTATGTACTCACATCTTGCATCCACTTGAAGAGCGCCCGCGCCCTCTCGCGGAAATTTCTGTAACATTGTCCCGCGTAGCTGTAGCGTTCAGGGATCTGCATGTCGGTGAACATGTACACCACAGCCTGCAACATTACGGTCGGCAGCAGTGCTTCGCTACCCTCTTAACGTACCAGAATGAGAACTAAACTGTAAGTGAGGCTACCACTTTGCACTGCCATTCCCTTCGCTGTTTATATCGAAAGAGGAACCAAATAGGATATGTTGGAAATTTGTAATCAAGTTTGTAACAGTATTTATCTACAGCTTCCATTGAATTCGCGTTTCATTCTCTTAACCCTTTAAAGTAGTGTTTCTTTTATTGATAGTGGTGTGGGACTAAAGCCCTTATATGGGCCGCGCTATAGCTCAAGCAGTTAGTAGCTGGCTTCCCACCATGGCGGCCCGGGTTCGATACCAAGTCTGGTTAAGTGGGATTTGCGGTTGACAAAGTGGAGCTGGGTCAGGTTTTCTCTGAGTACTTCGGTTTCCCCTGCCAATCTTCATTCCACCAATTGCTCCACAATCACCCTCACCTATCATCTGGGGCCGGTACAATAGGCCAGAAGTGGCGCGGCCCTACAAGAGACTTAGTCCCACCCCACTAGCAATAAAAAAAAGTCCCTTGTACTGCGGCCACTTTGCTTCTTATTATTTATTTTACATTACGTGTTTCGGCCTAGGAGCCGGGGTGGCATAGTCGGTATAGCGACTAGCTACAGGATGGATGACTGAGAGGTTGGAGTTCCAGTCCCGGTAGGGTCAAGAACTTTTTTTTTTTCCAAATCGTCCCGACCGGCTTAGGGGTCCACCCAACGTATCCAATGGGTACTGGGGGGTAAAGCGGCCGGGGCGTGAAGCTGACCACTCACCTCCAGCTAGTGCCGAGGTCAAGAAAATGTGGGTCTGCACATCCACACTCCCATATGCCTTCATGACATAATGCTTAATTCGTTGAGCACAGGGCAACTTTACCTTACATGTTTCAGCCTAAATGGCCATCATCAGGTGTATACGAGAACTGCTGTTCTGTTGTATTTTGCATTTTACAAGTAACGTAGAGCATTGCTTATAAATGTAAAATACAACAGCACAGACAGCAGTATTCTTAAGCGTAGTATAAACCTGATGATGGCCATTCAGGCCGAAACATGTAATGTTAAATAAATAATAAGAGACAAAGGTCCTCGAAGTGTGAATTCAATATGTGGACGGAGCTGCACAGAGACGGTGAAGTGAGAATCCTAAAAGTTTACTATTTTTTTCTCTCCTCTTGTTCCCACTTTGGAGCATACAGCTGATTTTCAGTTTCATGATCATTTTACAGACAGTAGGACTCCTTGGATGGGTGATCAGCTTGTCGCAAGACCGCTGCCTAAACACAGGACAACACAAACACTGAACAAACACAAACACTAAATATCCGTGCCTTGTGTGGAATTCAAAATCACGATCCCGGCTTCCGAGCGAGCGAAAACAGTTCATGCATTAGACCGCTCGGCTACAAAAGTTTACTATATACACTACGTAATTTAAAGATAGAAATATATGTATCTGCAAATACACGCCGTGTATTTTTGTGCTTCATTATGATTCTCTGAATAAACAGCGACTATTCGTCTAAAGAATATTAATTATGTGAAGGGACCAGTTAAAAACTAAGACTACTTCTGCTCTGGCCAGATGTGTCATGTATATAAGAAATCGCCAAGTACGAGTATATTGGTGGGAGAAAATGTGTAGATCCTCCTCTGCAGCAAAAATGGTGAGACGCTGTGGTGTGGTTTTAAGTGATTCGTTAAACATGATTACTTTTTTCAAAAGTTTTTTAAATGGAACTAAACGCTTCTTGCACTGAGACCCTTCAATTTATCTTTATATTAAAGATGTAATGTGTTTCGTTGAGTGTAAAAACTTATTTTGAAATATTATTTAGAAGAACTTTATGTCCCTCGTCAGAAGGTAACCCCTTGATGACCAAATCGTAATGGTGAAGAATGTTAGGTTTCATAATCTGGTTATAAACTCAAAGAAGAGCTGGACAACAAGATTTACTCACAGACTGAGTAATTGTCAGCCATAAAGTAAAATGGATTTTGGCTCATGTTCGGATAGGTTTATAGCTCAAGATGCTATGAAGGGTGCATTGCCTTTTATCACTTCTCAGATTTTATTGGTAATGTTATTTTATCTTCTTTGTACTCTACTGGAGTAGTCAGTATAGCAACTGGCTACGGGCTGGATGACCAGGGGGGGTCGGAGTTCGAGTCCCGGTAGGGTCAAGAATTTTCTCTTCTCCAAAACGTCCACACCAGATCTGGGGTCCACCCAACCTCCTACCAAATGGGTACCGGGGGCCGGGGCATGAAGCTGACCATTCACCTCCAGCTAGTGCCGAGGTCAAGGAAATGTGGATCTATATATCTACTCCCCCATAAGCCCCCATGGCGTAGTGCGTAATTCATTGAGCACAGGGGAAATTTTACCTTTTTCTACTCTGCTAATAAATTTACTGTGCTTATGCTGTTATAAAATTCTGCTTAATTAAGTGGCGCAAGTCCGTATTGATCTTTAATACTGAGTTTTATTTATAAGTAATATTCTGATATGTATAATAAAAAAATCTCTGTGCAATTGGTGTGAATGTGTAAGGAGCTATGCCATTTTAAACATTTGTTGAGCGAGTAAAACACTATTCTTAAATTTGTCATGACTTAAACTGTGAGTCAAGTTAGAGACCTACGACTCTATTTAAGTACTTTGGAACTAATTTATTTAATCAAAATTGCTAGTACGCAGAATTATTGGGTTTTTGGACTTTTTCCATCATCCGGTCCAAAAATCAAGTAATTCTGTGTGTTATACACCATCGTCAGGACTCTTTAGAATGTAAAATTGTTACTAGCCTAGAATACTTACTTAATCCTTTCCTCTACTTCCCTCTAGAGATCTTGCCCTCCCCTGTGATAGGTACCAATTTCTCTGTATTCTTTGCCCATCTCAGTCTCCTCACTTTCAGCTCTACTAAATCCTTCTCTGCGTTTTGCATCTATCTTTATCTAGACTTCTACTTTCTGTCTTGCTTCAGAAAACCTTGCTTCACCTTTCTTGCTCCAGTTTGACTATAGGTTCCAACCATTCAAATCTTTTTCTTTTAATTATCTGCTGCCAGATCAGTGGCTTTATTTAATTCTCTGAGTTCTTGGTTAGTTCTTCTTTACCTACTTTTACTCATTATCACTGTCTGATTCTCACCATTCAATTCCCACGCAATCTATTTCTAATTTATGCTACATTCATATACACGTACAATTCTCTCTTTGTATGAAGCACTCTGTTCCCTTTTCACGAGAGTTTGTGACTTGCCTCTTTTTGTGCCTGTCTTGGCAAACCATTGTTTTCAGTGGAACTTTTTTCCACCCACACACGGAAGCCAGCCAGCCTTATACTAAGCCTACCTGTAGCAGCGCACTCATCTCCCTTGTCGTGCAGTAGGGGAACTGAACACCGGGAAGTATAGCCTGTGCAGTCTGGATGTTCAGTGCTGCTTCCTGAATTGTATTCCTCGCTTCAGTGGATAGGTGAAACCTGGTCTCTGGTGTCCTGAAAAGTCACACATTCGTGTACACTGCATTTGTTTGCTGTGCTGCAAAACCTGATATGAAACATATCCAGGCGTACTACATGTACATACACACACACACACGTGCTTAATCAATTGTTTCATTTTCAGATATGGAATTATAGCTATCACATGGGAACTGTATTGTAACAGATTTCATCAACGCATTGCCGGGCAACAGCTCTGTAAACATGGTCCAACACGCAACAATAAATGAGGCTGTGTTTTCTATGTCGTCCGTGCCGAGCAGCAGCGAAATAACGGGGTTATGCAACCTGCTTCTAGGCAATGGCTCGGTAAACACATTTCCGCGAATCTGACTGTGCTATGAAATCGGTGACGTCATCCATGGGGTGCATGCAGAGTACTTATCTCGAAGGCAATCGGCACTAGGAGTCAATCAGTTCTTGGCAGGAGATAGGCATGGGAAGTTCGTAGTTGAAGAAGAATTGGAAGTCGGCCTGTGAAGACTTAACATGTGATTAGAAGATTTTATTTATGTGTAATATTTGGAGTGTGTAATTCAGTGAGACTATTATATGTAGTTCTTGTGTTAAAAATCCATGAAGACTATTGCAGTTAGATGGAAGAGATTAACGTTGACTTCTCTGTAGTGTGAAAATCAGTAATAGTGTAATAATTACAGTATTTGTAGTTACGGCCTGTAAGTATCCAGTGAATCCAATTACCAATCTGAACCCTGTCTTTAGTCACTGATACATGTGACAGCATAATCTTGTTGCAAATTAAAGGTACCTCTTCTTAAGGGGAAATTTAAAATCGAGTCTAAATCAGCAAAAGAGGTAGGAATTGAAGTGAAATGTACTTGTTAGTGGTGCTTTATTTGTAGGTACACTAAATGCACCAGGAAGTCCAATTATGGTTCAAGGCTTTAATCCGCTATGTGAAATGGTAGATTTGCTTTCTTTGTCATTGTTGATCAAATTACCACTTCAAGAAATATCTTTGTATTGAATGGATATTGAGTGTGAATGTGCCACTATAATATTTAGTGCACTTGTTTCCTGACATATGTAAGTCTTCTCAATTTGCTCCCTTTCAACGTTTTATAGTTTTATAACTTTCAAATGAATGCTTTGCATATTGGCTCCGAAAGCTGCCTTAAGTTACCTAATAAAGAAAAGTAGAATATTTTCTATGATTAATTCTTCACTAGGCGATTAACTTCCTTCGATTAATCTAGTAACGGTTTTGTTATTAATTACGTTCTTTAATTGCTGGTGGGGTGGGACTAAGTCCCTTGTACTGCAGCCACTTCTGGCCTATTGTACCAGCCCCAGATGATAGGTGAGGGTGATTGTGGAGCAATTGGTGGAATGAAGATTGGCAGGGGAAACCGAAGTACTCGTAGAAAACCTGCCCCAGCGCCATTTTGTCCACCACAAATCCCACTTAACTAGACCCGGGATCGAACCCGGGCTGCCGCGGTGGGAAGCCAGCGACTAACCGTTTGAGCTATGGCGCGACCTCCATTAATTACTTAAATCCGTGCTGCAGTATTAAGTCTGATTCCCTTTACTTAGCCAAAATAAAGATCTTCATGCTTAAATAACATACAATTCGGGAATTCGTACAGACAGCGGGAGTAAAGCTCCAAGCAATCATAGCCTAGGCCATATATAATATAATGTAATATAACATTTAATCTAGTATAATATATGATATAGTTATATAAATCTGCAGGAATTTATGAAATCCTAAGGTAAATGATTAGACTTACACTCCAACCAGTTTAATCCCTGACATAGAATAGTCCGCCCCCCTCTGTGGTCTAATGGTCAGAGTGTGTGGCTACAGATCCAGAGGTTCCAGGTTCGATTCCTGGCGCTACCAGATTTTCTGAGAAGTATTGGGTCTGGAACGGGGTCCAGTGATCCTCGTGAGGATAATTGAGCTACTTGAATGGAAAATTAGCGGCTCCCGTCTACAAAACCGAGATTAATGGTCGTGAAAATCCATTGTGCTGACCACGTGACACCCCCTAGCCACAGAAGTTGGCACTAATTTCGCCGACAAGCGACTGTCGCTCGGTTGGTGTAGTTCGCTTTCGGACTTAAAGCCAGGGCGGTTTTTATCATAGAGTTATCGGCCAATTGAAACGTGGCGTTTTATACTAAAAATATAATCACAAATCAGTTTGCTATACATTAAATGTCAGCAAGCCTATTATTAATAATTTATGTTTAAGATATGCTAAAAGTGTAAGCTATCTTTCAACAATATTTCGGGCTACTTTACTTGGATTTTAGGTGCCCAGGGCTGTGGCTATGAAGAATTCTGAAAGGTAAAAAGTAAAGTAAAGCTATCCCTATAACAGGCTGTGAAGGCCCATAGGATTGTGAGACGTTGAGGGTCCCACATCTAGACAATCGGCTCAAAGATGGCGGTAAGGTTGTTAGTCCTGCGCGCCGTCCGCGCTTTACTCCCCAGGAAAATTATTTAATTAATTCCTGGTACTCATTTCTGTTAGAGGCTGAGTCATAGTGCGGCTGGAAAGATTTGGTCAACTGAAAAAATCCAATGACCTCATCGGGACTTGAACCCGCGACCTTCCGGCTTGTAGCATAGCCCCGTAACCAACTACGCTACCGCGTGCCCCTTATGAAGAATTCTACCTTCTGGAATGCAAGGCTATGTAGTCGGGCGAAAGTCACCTACTACATGGCCTTGTATCCCAGCTTTTCTAACTGCCTGTTGATCGTTTTCGTCCTATAATCACATCTTTATTTATCTTATGTTTTATTTTATTAACATATAATCCGTCTCCACCACCATGAGGCCACTCACTGGGAACTGAGCTCCTTCCAGCAGGTCACGGCTCTTTCCAGCAGTTCCGTGGCGGCCTGTACCAACATGGATGCCTCTTGCCACTCCAGCACGCCGCCTGCCATCGTATCACGGTAGCTACGAACTTTGTCCAGCTCCAGTTCTATGTGCTTCTCCTCTTCGCTGCCGTAGGATTCCCCGAAAAGACCTTCCAGCAGCGAGTCCTCCTCCTGATACAGCCCCTGCAGGTAGGACACCTTGGATTTCAAAACCTTCACCTCCTCCGTCGCCTCTTCCCAACGTCTCCGCAACACAGCCACTTCGTTGCGCGCAAGCACCTGCGATATAGGAGACCATTGCAGCATCAATCACTGCTGGACAAGATATAGACGGCCCATGATTTTCTTTGCGATCTCTTTCAGTCTACTCTAGATATCTGCGTTTATGTGAAGCAGAAATCTACCTTCAGATTTCTCAAAATTTCCTCAACTTATACAAAGAAGTACATGTTGCAATATGGTATGAGGTGATTGGCTGAAGCCGTAACTAATTTGGAAGGTACCCGTTTCAAATCTCGGCAGTGACACCGACTATACTGACAGAACGGCCGCACCGTAGCTCAAGCGCTTATTCGCTGGTTTTTCACCGCGGCGGCCCGAGTTCGATCCCGGGTCTGGTCAAGTGGGATTTGTGGTGGACAAAGTGGCGCTGAGGCAGGTTTCCTCCGAGTATTTTGGTTCCCCTGCCAATCTTCATTCCACCAATTGCTCCACAATCACCCTCACCTATCATCTGGGCCTGGTACAATAGTCCAGAAGTGGCTGCAGTACAATGGACTTAGTCTCACCCCACTAGTAATAAAAAAATACTGACAAAACTTTCAGTGGTTTTCCTCGGTCCATCCAGGCAAATACCGGGAGATAATTACCTTACAATATACCACCACAGTTTCCATCACCACCCCTTCCAATTCTTTTCACTATCATCCGGTCCCTGCATGCTATATTTGGAGTTGCCGACAGCACCGTTAAACAAACTGCGAACACATCATTGTGTATGACACTAAGCAAAGCAATGAATGCAGTGTATTCTTTACTGGTGCTACAACCCTACGTGATTCTTGACCTCCTCTGTGTCCTACCTCCACATGTTCTGTGGAGGAATAAGTCTTTCCGAGGCTGTGATCGTTCGCCCCACGCTCAAAACCCCAACGTGGACGGCCAGAGAGGACACTTCCACTGTCCCTCCGCCCCTTGACTTATCGAGGTTGGATGCGCTCCCGCCACCATAACTATCCGTGTCATTGGAGCGCGCACATCTCCTCTCCACGATATGGCAGCAGTCGTTGAGAAGGGATTTTATACATAGACGCCCTAATTATAATGCACTTGAACTGGCAGATCACAAATTTCCTCATACCAACAGACTAACACATTTTTATCTGGGTCTAGAGCCACTATTGCAACTGTTACTGTGAAGTTCATTTCAGAATCAGTTTCTGTGCTGGTCAATGTTGATTTGTAAGGTTCTGGAGACGCTGGTTGAACGTCTCTTGAACCATAGATAAATTGTTATATTCCTGTCAGCACAACATTCTTTCCAGCAGGGACCATTTGCAGAAATCCATTTCGTGCCCACAGAACTTGTTAAGACGGCAGGAGACTGAAGCTTATTCCTACCTGTCTGTTGATGGTGGATATGAACTCCTCGTGTTCGGTCGCCCTCTCTTCGTTTCTGTGAATGCCCAGTTCCAGAATCACCCGCCACAAACTTTCGTCACTTCCGCCGTCCCCTGATTGGCTCCATGCCGCCACGCGCTCTTCCGCTGCCTGCAGCTCCGTGTTCAGGGCTTCTAACCGCGCGGTTGCAAAGCTCAGGGCCGGAGCAGGGGCTGGAACTTGCTGCTCCTCCCGCCAGATGGCTCGATCTACTTCCATATATGCTTCCAATACCTCGGGGCTCGCATTGACCTACGAACGAACATAAGGTTTAAAGGGCAGAATTATGCGTCTTTTTTTTTTCATTCGTGTGATAAGGTCAGTTTCATTTCCTTGTTACATAAGCCGCAAACAGTCCCACTGAACCTCCACCTGATGACAGACGAGGAAGTAGAGCATTGGTGGAGTGGAGATTGGCAGGGGAAAACCGAAATATCGGAGGGAAGCCTCCACCAGTGCCACTTTTCTGCCATAAATCCCACACGGATTGCCCTGGGATTGAATTCGGGCTTTCGCTGAGAAAAGCGGCTGATTAACCGCCTGAATTGTTCAGAGATTATGCGTAATATCGGATTTCTTTCATGTGATCGGATAATTCTGCCGCCCACAGAACAGTTCCTGATTGATGTTGGATTTCTCGAAGCGTTTGGTAACAGCCAGAAGTCAAATGGGAACTAAGTCACGTGCACAAGACAAAGGAGCACCTCAATTCCCGTTTTAGTTTTAGTAAAATTCATAGCAGAACTTTAGTTTCTAAAACATAACAGCTTTTCAAGACACTGGGAAAGACAGTCGATAGAAATTTTGACTTGCAGTCGGAAGAGGGAAAGACAGTTTGCAGCAATATTGCAAACTTCTGTGTAAAATAAACGTAACAGCAAAGACCGGAGGTCAACTCACATGTCATTTTCATATAGGGTGTTTTATACGCTTCTATTTTTAACGTGTCTCTTTAAGGGGGTAATTTAAGCCCTACATTCGTAATGATATTTTTTTTAATTGAAGTAAACTGGGAAGAATGTTAGGTTAGGTTTTCTATGTCTGTGCCAGCATTCATAGCTGTAGAGTTTGCCACGAAACAAGAGCAAAAGACTGCGTTTTTTATTCATACCTCATTCCTATAAAATATGACAAATATAATATAAAGATAGGTAATAAGCCCTTTATGTATGTGACAAATCTAAAATATTTTAGGAATGACACTTGAGAAAATTACGTTCACGAAGGAATTGAGAGCAGATTAAATTTTTTGATTGTCAGCTACCAGAAAGTTCCGATTCTTACAAATGTCCATCTATTATTAAAAGTATAAAACTGAAATGCTATGTTTTCATGTCTATGTGGGTCCGAAAATTGGATTTTCATACTAGGGGGAAGAACTTGTATTTAGTGTGTTTTAGAATCAGCTTCTGAGGTGACAGTTTGTATAAAGAGGGACTTCATAATTTGTGCCCTTCAGTAAATATTAATGGATCCTAGGGTTCCCAGATACCCCGTTTACCCCGGATTCTTCCGTGTTTTCGCCCAAATTTTGTTCCTCCCTTTATAGTTTACCCGGAGTGGATAATTCTCCGTTTTTTTATTTAAGTCCATTACGAATTATATTTCATGGGTTAAATATTATCATAAAATTTCTGTAATCCTTGGAAAATGACATTGTTATAGTTTCTTTCGTTATGTTGCATTTCGTGGATTTTGGCAACACTTCAGGTTCTAAACCAAAGCAGAGGTTGTTGGTGATAGTGTATTTTTAATCCGTTCAATCTTCGCTAGAAAACCAGTGTCAAGTTAACAAAAATGTTTGAGGGCGAAGAAGATCCATCAGACTCCTCCATGGAAGAAGTTGAAATTCCAGGCCAAACATAATCAAATAAATCCTAAGAAATGGGAAGATGTTCAGAGAAATACAATTAACAGAATCTGATCGACCAGCCGTTGAAAGTTATAAATATGTAGTATTTAATATTTGTGTGTTCTACAGATGTGTGCTAGGTAATATTTTGTGCATTCTATAAATATGTAATAGGGCTACGTAATATTTGTTTTGTTCTATAAATGTGTTGTAGGCCTGTGTAATACAGATGTGTAGTAGCATTTTGTAAGTTATGTAGTATGTTGATTATGCAAATTTATAGCCTATTAGTTGTGAAAAATATCGTTATAAACAAGCAACGAGACATCGCTCCTTTTTTTATTTTACAAAATCTGGCAACCCTAATGGAACCTTCAAATTGAAGAGAATGAAACGAGCGATCCATGTAGCCTGAATGAGAAAAATAAGAAGTACACCATATTTGTAGTCCACGTACACACAATATTATTATTTGGAGATTCGTTTTTAATATTATTCTTCAATTAACGCCTAGGTCTTGTAACCGTCCTTTCCTTACGTTGGTTGCTGGTTGCAGCTGCTCCTCTAGCCGTTCCCTCTCACCTGTTGGTACTCCAAGATTACAGGTTGCTGCTGCGTCCTTCTTATCCAGTTCTGCTTCCCTTTTTGTTGTTGTTGTTGTTGTTGTTGTTGTTGTTGTTGTTGTTGCGCTTGTTGTGGATAATTGTTTGCGGGATATGGGTTACATGAATGCTGGGGGCCAGTAATCTTGCTGTAAAGGCTTACTTTTCAGGAAAAAGGGGGGATGAACCGGAAACTACAGGTGATGGGTACCGCATTCGCACTAGAGCGATAAGATTCTATCTCAGGGTGCATACGGGCTTCGCGTTAGCGGGAAAGATACGAGTGTTTATAGCTAGGCACTACCACACACACTGTTTAATTAGCAGTTCTTGATATACATGTAACATCACTTGTCCTTAATCCCTTGAAATCGCTCAAACGTTGGCGACCGGATCTCTGGCTAGTTATTTAGCGACTGCTTCTTTTAGCACAACACATAGGAGTAATTACACTTTCGCTTAAACTTTTAAGACAAAGTAAGATTCACATTAAATATTGCAGAGTTATTCGGGGATTGTTCCCGTAACACACTTAAACATAATTCTGTTTTAACTTCGACTTTGTAAACCCAACTGCCAGTGACACTAATTTTTCGGCTGTACACCTGGAGAGTTGTTCAGAGACTCCTTTAGCAGACTGACTCTTCTTTGAAGCAAGAAATCTTCACGGCTTCAGCTCCGCCTCCAAGTTACTACCCTAATTTCGGCTGATTGGAACAATTCGAATTTAGGGAGTTAACCATAATTCTCACTGCTCCAGTCACCTAGCTTTAATTTGGGACTTCGGACCTTAAACTCCTAACGTCGTTTCTGACAGCAGCTTGAAAAATTATACCAGTAGCGTGGGTTGCTAGCCTTCCCACTTTTGACTTACGGGATTCAAAACCTGTCAAGTGTAACTTTACCAAAGGATCCCGCCGGTCAACTCTCGAACTGGATTTCCAGGAAAACTCTGCGGGGTGCTTCCTGCCAGGTCTTTGTAGCAGTGAAGCTGGCCCTATTCTTGAAACCAAGAATCGGTCTAAGTCACCCTTGAATGTTCCTGACTACATCCTATGCTTAATTACTATAAAAGAAATATTGATTACAAATAAAGCTGGTCGTGTCAGTGGTAGGGCTACATTCTCCCAAGTTGTCACTCCCTTCCAGGTTCTCTGGCTAGTCTAACCAGTGTAGCGTAGTGTAGTGTAATATGGTGTAATGCAGTGCCGTACATTGTATTGTAGTTTAGCAGTGAATTAGTGTAGTAGATATCGTGTAGTATACTGTAGTGAAGTATAGTGTAGTGTAGTGTAGTATAGTAGAGTATAGTATAGTATAGTGTAGTGTAGTGTAGTATAGTGTAGCGTCCAGTGATGATAATAAACAATAAGATTCCATAAAATATACGGAATATTTTGAATAGCTAAGTGACAATAATTTTCACAAGGAAAAAGGGGAATTAGGTAATTAATTAGTATTTGTAGTTTTGGAAGCTGATATCTCATAAGACGATGTACCATCCTTCACAGCTTCCTTCGTGGCTACTGCAGGACGTTGCCCCATCTGTCCAAGGATCCGCGCGTTACAGCGAGCAGAATATCGAAACACCACCCATGAAATAAGTACTGTATTTCAGATATAGAAATATGTTGCCGATACAGCATAACATTTAAAGAGTTACGCTTATTCAGGTATAAAATTAAGCCTACTTTTCCTTTATTACCAATATGTAGATAAATGTACAAAATAATAAACAATTATTAAAGTAAACTCGAAACATTTTAACCGATATGCTAATGTAATGTAGATATTTTTAAGCTTTCTTTGCATAAAGAACATAAACTTAACATGTAAAGGGATAGCTGTGTATGTGTCTCTCTTCTTCCGAACCATACACTATTTTTGTGGGTTCCTTAACGACACGAACGTTAATTTCGGTTTTATAGACCGGAGCCGCTATTTCCTTGAAATAGCTTCTTAACTATCCTCAACGAGGCTAAGTGGACCTCGTTCCAGACCCACCACTCCTCAGAAAATCTAGTTGCTCCTGGAATCGAGCCCGGACCTCTGGATCTGTAGCCAGAAACTCTGACCACTAAACCACAGAGGCTGTCGGACTGTGTCAAGGTTTGTTTTTATTCGTTGTTGACACAGTAGTGTTTATTTTATTTCTTTTTTGATTATTTGTTATGCGACTGTCCCGAATTATAACTTTTCGTAAATGAAACACAACAGAATGCGTACCATAAAGGTTTTGGTAAACATGATACGACTGTGAATGCCCGGAACCCCTCGAAAATATACATGCATAAATTTATATGCATATTATAAATGTTTTGTCTTATCTGTTATAATGTGTTCTGGGTTTGACAACAGGGTTGCGATTCTAAAAATGGAAAAGTCTGGAGCGGTCCTAGAACTCACATAACGCTCTCTTCAATGCATGCAGCGGGTTATTTCGCCGGAAATAAAGCAGTTGGAACGTGAAGATTTACTTCCACGTCACCTATACGCCTTCATCACAGATATTTAGATTGAGGCAACTCTATCGTAACGAGTTACGCTGCGCCGAACCTCAAAGGAAGGAGCTTTTTCTCATGTTAATTTTATTTGCAATTTTGGGTTTATTAATTTATCGCCCCGGGGTTTAGACGGGCGTGTTGGGGGATTATTGATTTAGTGAAGTGTTAACGACTTCCCTTAGTTGGGGATGCTGCGTGTAATGCGCCCCTGGGGTTAATATCTCCCGACGTTTCTTTATACTCTCTCACTCGAACTGAGTTCAAAAACTTGGTGTATTTTGCGCTTCGCACCAGTAACATTCTCTATATCAGGGTTAACCAGTTATGTGTCGCGGGCACCATGGTGCCCTTGGAAATTTCTTAGATGTCCTTGAGTGTCTCATAACTAAGTAACTAACTTCAAGGAGTTGAGCCCTTTGTGAGAAGCCACCAGTAGTACAGTACCCAAGAACTTCGCAGCATTTTATGGAGCTCTAAAGTTCATTACCGTGTTCACAGAGCTCTCCACTGATCCCTATCCTGAGCCAGATCGATCCAGTCCATAAAACCCCATCTCATATCTCTAAGCTCAATTTTAATATTGTCCACCCACCTACACCTTGGTCATCCCAGTGGTCTCTTTCCTTCTGGCTTTCTCACCAGTATCTTATATGCATTCCTCGTCTCCCCCATTCGTTCTACATGCTCTGCCGAGTATCTGATAATATTCATAATTATTTCTTTATTGTTTTCTAGTGATGGCAAATCACCTAGTGATTTTTGTTTTATTAACGGAATCCCTGCACAGGAGCGAGGATCTATCCATGCTTATATTGGTTCAGGTGGCTTACTGAGGTCGGATTTAAATAATTCTTGAGAAAGATTAATTTGTATGTCTGTGTGAAATACAATGTACAGAATCAGTGTTTTTAAAAATGTTTGGATTTGAGGACATAGGATGCAGATAAGTTGGAAATCAATATATTTCAAAAGTTCGTTTTGGGGGGGTTGTAACGCTGTGTAGTTCGGAGAGAGGAGAATATCGCCTCCATTTTGAGAACCAAAGAGTAAACAAAGCGAGATACCAACAGAAGCAAGAAGCAAGCGGCAAGCTAAATTCTGCTTCTATTTTTTTTCTTTTATGTTATCTGAGGACTGTGTGTGTTACTATGTGAGCTGAGTTTAGCAAATTTTCTTTTCTCTTTATTTTTTTTTTCAAAATGTGTTTTCACTTCCCGAACGAAATGTAATTATTACACTACCTTATTTCCGTCAACTGTGGACCTTTGACGATAGGAAATATAAAAGTATGTCTTGAAAAGTCTTCGTTTCTATGCATTGTGTGTTATGGTGTCGTGAGAAGTTTTCACACCCCTGTAGTTTTATGTCTGCAGCCTTGAACTCTTCCAACTTCCACAGCATGCCTAAAGGGTACCCTCTCTTCAATAACAATGTAATAATGTCCATCCCCCTTGTCACATAACGGCCCCAGATATGAGGTTAAAAACAAAGTTAAAGCTATCCCTGTAACAGGTCGTGGAGGCCCACAGATTTGTAAGACTTCGACGTTTCCACATTTCCTAGACAATCGGCTCACAGATGGCGGTGATGTCAGCCTTACGCGCCTGCCAACCTTTACCCGCAGGATGATAAGATTCCTGGTACTCATTTCTGTTAGAGGCTGAGTCCACCCTGGGGCCATAGTGCGGCTGGAAGGATTAGGTAAATCGAAAAATCCAGCAACCTCATTGGAAATCGAACCCGCGACCTTCCGGCCTCAACCAATTACACTACCGCGTGCCCCCCACATATGGAATTTAGCTGCGAATATATTGAATAAGCAGCCGAGGGCAGTGGAAAAGAGATTGTCCTACAGCTTGGGGGTTGGGCATGGGGCTACAGCTTCTCACCGTAAAGATGCAGTTTGTTGCAAAACGTTACACAGGGCCTCAGATATGGTGGGCTCATGCAAACGCGGTAATGAACCTTCGGATTCCATAAAATGTTAGGAAATTCCTGAGTAGCCGAATGTCTGGTGGCTTCTCAAGGTGAATTTGCTGAATGGAGTCACTGAGTTTCGAGTGTCATCTGAACATCAGAATCAGTTGCGTAATCACCGTTCTTGCCCTGACTCTGGTGCGACTTTGCTACTCTTTATTGTTTCATGATATTGGTGTTTTGTACACAGATATTAGATAGAGAATTAAAAGGATCCTAAATATTTCAATCGGTAAAGCGAAGAGCTACGCGTTTGGCAGACCTACGCCCAATTCACGTCAAGGGAAAGATATTTTGTCTACTCCACAGCGACCAGACCGTTTCGGGGGCATATCCAGCCTCCTATGTAATGGGTGCCGGGGAATTTTCCTGAGAGCAAATCGACTAGGGCATGAAGCCGACCACTCATCTAGTGCCGAGGTAACGAATCGTGGAGTTACACCTTCACTCCTTCATATGTCTTCACGGTGGGGTGCTTAATTAATTAAGCGAAATTTTATGTTTACTTTTAAGGGATCGAAACGCCTGACTTTGGGTTGACACACAACTTTTCTGGTTGCTGCTGGAACCTATGCTATTTATGCTGTGATATTGTAAACTGAGGTTTCTGCTAAGCAAGCTAAGGTTAAATCAATTTGGTTTCCTTAAATTGTTCAGTTTTGTATACTCACATTTTGTTTGTAGCTGCTGCTGGAACCGCAGCCCATGTCACGCGACACGCGCCATGTAGCCAATCATATGAACACACTACGAGATTCAGCTGTCATCACGGACCAACTGAATCACAATGCCAACAGCAAACATGACTTAGAAATCCAACCCTTGCCAAGAAAATATATTAAATACAGATCAGGAGACAGTTAATCCTACTAGTACTACTACTACTAGTACTACTACTACTAGTACTACTACTACTACTACACAACCACTACTACTGCTACTACTACACCACGATCACCACTAATGATTGGCAACTGATAAATAAAAATAGGAGATAATGACTTCCTCCGTAGATTGGGCTCAACTAAGGAGACCTTTATCTGTGTACAGAGATATAGCCCAGTCTCCAAAACGTTGTTTCTAATTGAAATTAGGACGCTGGATAATGTTAGAAAAGTCAGTAAGTGCAAAAACAATACACACTTGCAGGATAAATATGTGGAGAAAAGGTAAAGCTATCACTGTAAGAGGCCGTGGAGACCCACAGGGTTGTGAGACGTCGAGGCTCTCACATTTTCTAGACGTTCAGCTCGTTGATGGTGTTGAGATTATCAGCCTTACGCCCAGGCCGCCGTTTACCCCCCCAGGACGATTCCTAGTACTCATTTCTGTTAGAGGCTGAGTCGACTCCAGGGCAATAGCGAGGCTTGAAGTGGTAGATCAATTGAAAAATCCGGTAACTTCATCGGGAATAGAACGATCTTCCGTCTTGCAGGATAGAACCTTAACTAACTAGGCTGCGTGTCCCAAGATATATATATAGGATATTCTACTCCGTAATAGATGGAGAACAAACATGATTTTACAATAACACTGAATGTAACAAAATAAATGACTACTGATTAATGAACCAAATTAACAGAAGAGAGGTGAAATATTTTACTAAACCGACCGAGCGACCGCCGCTTGTCGGCGAAGTTAATGCCAACTTTAGCGGATAGAGGTGTCACGTGGGAAGCGTAACGAATCCACACGGCCGCTAATTTCGGTTTTCTAGACCGGAGCCGCTATTTCCTTGAATAGCTCCTCAATTATCCTCACGAGAGTGAGCGGACCCCTTTCCAGACCCACTACTTCTCAGAAAATCTGGTAGTGCCGGGAATCGAACCCGGACCTCTGGACCTGTAGCCAGGAACTCTGACCACTAGACCACAGAGGCGGTCAGTATAGTTCGCTTGCGGACTAAAACTGCGGAGTTTTTTTTTTGAGGTGAAATATTTTATCTTCTCTGCAGCACACAGACGGGCTTTGTAGTCCATCCAGACTCTAGCGTGTATTTGTAAGTTCTTTCCCGGGTATAAAGAGACAATACTTGATAATGCTTACAAAATTTTATTGCCAGGGCTCGCCGTCGCCAAAAGGAATGTAAACCAGGACAGAGAATTTCAAGAAGCGTGACAAACGCAGAAAAAAAGAAAACCCATTACACGAGAGGATAAAACTGAAACAAGACTGGACAATTGTTCTCCGTTTCATTTACTGCGGAGAGAAATCTTTGCAACGAACCTAATCAGAAGTAGAGATACTACACTGGACAGTCATGAATTTAACATTTCTCATGTTTTTTTTTTGTGCCAATTGTGTGCCATCGAGAGGGAACCGTTACAAGCATGAAACAGGCTGCGGGAGTTGTCTGAAGGTTTACTGCAATTGTCGGTAAAACTGCCATGATCCAACATGAATATGTTCTTAGGATAGGGCCAGTGACTGGCAATGAATTTAAGCCTTCGTAATGATACTGGGAAATTATTGACTAGATCAGCAACTATTAGCTTTCATGATACACTCAGCTTCATAGAGTCAGTTACAGATTTTGGTTTGAACGGTAGCGTAGTCGGTTGAGGCACAATGCTAGAAACCTGAAGGTTTGAGGGATCGAGTCCCGATGAAGTGGATTTTTTCAATTGACTTAATCCTTCCAGCCGCACTGTGGCCCTGGCGTCGACTAAGCCTCTAACAGAAATGAGTCCCACGAGTCTTCCTGGGGTGTAAATGGCGGCCGACGCGTAAGGCTGACAACCTTACCGCCATCTGTGAGCCGATTATCTAGAATCTAGATAATGTGGGATTCTCAACATCTCACAACCCTATGAGTCTCAATGACCTTTCACAAGGATAGGTTCACCTTCACTTCTTATAAAATATATTTCATGATGGCTCGAAAGGGGATAGGTCTATAGTTTCAAAGGAAGATTACTTCAACTTGCGGCCGTCAGCACGAATTTTGATGTGTTGACTGACAGACTATGCGTTCAAGCGAAGACACTGCCAAACATTTGTCTGCTGCGAAAATTCTCGTATTTGGCATAGAGATTTCGGTAACGCGAGGTGTCCCATTTGTTGTGACCAATATTGATGTAAGCACACCTCGTGCAGCCTTGAATGCACTTTCGCATCAATAAAATGGCGTCTCCTTGCCAATTGTAAGCCTATGTCAGGACCTCAGTCGTTCTGAAACTTGGCAATCCTCAAATTCCTTTGCGTAGATAGAACATGAAATGGCTTTGTTACTGGGCGACGACGTACAGAAATATTACTGCATATAATTGCGTCGAGACGTCACAGTATCCGTTAAAGGAATTTAACGGCTGAGTCAAAGAAGACGGCTGAATAGTGACAGCATGTCGCGCAGAAAGAGACAGAATTATATGATCGCGGTTTCGAAAGAGAACTTCCACTTGATCTTTTCATGCTCTACAGCATATACGTTTAGTGAAACGAATCGTATTTTTGATCGTAAATAAATATTTATTTGTGCTATCACATAATTTATCACGATGAATTTATTCTATGTACATCTCTCACGGCTCTTCGTATGTTTCATTGTTGTCGACCAAAACTCGCCATAAAATCAATGGTATTTCTACGTCGTATTTGGGAAATTGGTTCAAATCCCTCTCGGAGACAGACTATCCTGAGTGAGTTATTTCGTGATTTTAGAGTCCCTTCCGTCAAATTCCGGATTGGTCACTCAAATTTGATTACAAACGCTTCCTTCCTTATTCCTTCAAGTTAATCATTAGCTAATAATTTTATAATTCGGTGTTATGTACACGCATTATGAGATAAAACAATTTTTAAATAAACTATAAACAGATAAATACTTACTCATGAAGCTGAGCCCTTCTTGAGGGGCCGCCAAGTCTGCAGCTACTCAAGAATTTCCCAGAATTTTATGGTACCCGAAGGTTCATTATGTTCACAAGAGTCCTCCACTGGTCCCTATCCTGAGCTAAATCAATCCAATCAATACCATCCCATCCTATCTCTCTAAGATCCATTATAATATTGTCCACCCGTCTACGCCTTGATCTTCCCAATGGTCTCTTTCCTTCTGTCTTTCCCACCAATACCCTATATGCATTCCTCCCCTCCCCCATTCGTGCTATATACCCTGCCCACCTCATCCTCCTTGACTTTACCATTCTAATTATACTTGGAGAAGAGTACAAGTTATGAAGCTCCTCATTATGCAGTTTTCTCCAAACTCCTGTCACTTCATCTCTCTTGGGTCCAAATATTCTTCTCAACACCCTGTTCTCAGTCTATGTTCCTCCCTTAATGTCAGAGTCCAAGTTTCACACCCATACAGAACCACACTCAAAATTATAGTTTTGTATATTCTAATTTTTATGTTTTTTTAATAGCAGACGAGAAGACAAAGGGTTCTGGACTGAATGGTAGGAAGCATTAGCCGAGTTCAATATTCTCTTAATTTAAACAGCAAAATAAATTCGTTGCTGTAAATCCATCATAGTATGTTTAGACTGTGTCACTTGCCAACTTACTGAACTTGACAAGAAAAGTGTACAGTGCAGATAATAAAAGCTGACTGATGTGGCTTGGATTTTTTTCTTCTCAACGCATGACAAACAGAGCTACTGAGATTTGTCACCGCCCGTTTATCTTATTCTTGATAAAGTCATCTTTTTATTTTAACCCAGTGAAGAGAGTGAAATGAAGAATTGCAGTCATGCGATTTTGACAAAACAAATCTGCACTGGGTTACCTCACAGATCTCACGCAACGCCGCCTCTACAGCAACAGTTAGGAGATGAGCAGTTACAGCACTGAGTCTTTTCTATTGCTAGTGGGGTGGGACTAAGTCCCCTTGCACTGCGGCCACTTCTGGCCTATTGTACCAGCCCCAGATGATAGGTGAGGGTGATTGTGGAGCAGTTGGTGGAATGAAGATTGGCAGGGGAAACCGAAGTACTCGGAGACAACCTGGCCCAGCTCCACTTTGTCCACCACAAATCCCACTTGACCAGACCCGGGATCGAACCCGGGCCGCCGCGATGGGAAACCAGCGACTAACCGCTTGAGCTATGGCGCGGCCCTACAGCAATGAGTTAGTATTTCTCACTAACTTATTCTTTCACATGCTAACGTTTCAAGTGCATTAATAATAATGCATGATTCTTTAAAATTATTAAAATTTGAAATTCAGGCCAGGAAGAACTTTATACTCTTAATTTCCTTGAAGTTTTTGAACTTGTATAATGATTCCAACAAAAGAGAAACAACTGATTAATTAGTAATTAGAAGTCTACGACCTACTTACATATTTCTATAAAAGTTTTTAAATTTGCGAGGTATAACCGAAAAGGTTCTTGTCTTTGGCGTGAGTATAGTTAATAACTGTATGATACCCATATTTTTCATAGAAAAATTTAAGGAATTTTGATTATCTCTCTTAATAGTAATCTGAGGGCGCTATAGCACATGTAGACCTCTGTTTTACAGTTTCTAGAAAATATATTTGTTTTAAATTTGTTAAACAAACGGCCCTGAAGATTTTCAGCAGTTCCGGACTCGGTGTATATATATATGTTGATGCGGATTTATGTCCATAAAAATTTGTGGTCATGTGAATGAGTGCTATGGATGACGATTTTTTGCCTACAGGCGTGTGTAGCATGAAAAAGCCGACGCAGAGAAATCATAAGGTCCATGAGGCTCGGGATTCTCCGACACTATGACCCTTATCGCTTAATCTGCAGTCCATTTTTTATTTACAGAAA